AATTATTGATAAGTATGTACATATATGATATTCTTGATATCTTGTATATTATTTAATTACATATAGTACAAAATCATTACTTAAAGTTATGAATATGAGATGTCGAAATTATTTTTCTGCGTTCTTCCTGCAGTCTAATCAAGTCCTTACAATCTTACAACTCGAAATGGCATTTCAGATTTAGCACTGAAAATCTTGGCGTGTTCTTTTGAACTTGCATTATTCAGTGCAACCCATGGAACTCGTACAGTGTTGGTGTGAATTGAGTGCGCACTGGTGTGCACTAACTTTTTCCTAATCGAAATAAGAATCGCTATAAGATACTATATACTAAGATATTTAAATATTAGTACTGAAGTATGTAAGCATATATGTTTTAATTATATAAATACTGCAATATGTATGTATACATGCAAGTTTAATATACAAACTTAACTTACATAATATACGAACATATTGATGTGTATAGAATATAGGGTTGCTCTATCTTTATGATAAAAATTTTGGAGACTGCTTATAGTATATCTTGAAAAAATTTTTTAAGTAGGAGTTAAACCAGTGTTATCCAAGATATGTAATTCTATACTCAATTATATAATTCTTAGTGACAATTCGATCGATAGTTTTTTTTATACATATATATTTTATACATATATCTGTGTGACGATACACAGTGAATTGTCGTTAAAAGATTACAGAATTGATCATTTACTTGATCGTGTTGATATTTACATTTATTGCTTTCCTTTTTCCATTTACATTAAGCCCCAATTTACAATAGATATAGTACACTTAATCTTCTGCTCCAAGCTCTAAATTTTATTGTTGAGATTTGGCCAGCTTGTTTAAAACTTAAGGATTTCGGTTTGAGGCAGCACTGAAAATACTTTTTGCTACTGGAAATACTTTTTGCTGCTGGAAATATTTTTGTTAGAAAAAACATAATTTAGAATTTGAAGCAAAAGACTAAGGCTTATTATACTTATAGATCAGGGTTAAGGAAAAAGAAAGCAATAGACAGAGCAAATGCCAATATATATTAAGTCAGTGCCCACAAATGTAAACCTTAGACACCTTGAATCTAAGCATATATATATATATATGTGTGTGTGTGTGTATTTCTTAAAGGTAGTACGTGGCCACTACAAGGGTCAACAAGTAGGAAAAGTCGTCCAAGTATACAGGAAAAAATTCGTAATATATATTGAGCGAATTCAACGCGAGAAAGCAAACAGTGCTAACGTGTACGTTGGCATTGACCCTTCCAAGGTAAGAATAGTATGACATTACAGAACATATATCAGGATCTATCGTTGCTTTTATATTCATGATGAACTATTCCAAATCCATTCACATAGAATTAGATAAATAGCTTGACTTTAAAACTGTGTGCAGGGTTTTCCTGCACATTTGTTGAAGAGTTTTGCTTAATCTAATTAATGCAGAAAGATTGGCTCTGATCATATTGTTACACATTTCTTTCGGCCTTACAAATTTCGTTGCATAAAATTTTTAACTTATCATATTATTGTTCCAGACGGTTATTGTTAAGTTAAAAATGGACAAAGACCGTAAAAAAATTATCGATAGGCGAAGCAAGGGCAGGCTGGCCGCGTTGGGTAAGGACAAAGGCAAATACACAGAGGATGTAACGGCCGCCATGGAAACGTCATAATTTTGATATATTTTTGCGTGTCACAATAAAAAATATGAAAAACAAAACTTTCATATTTGTCTCTTTTTACATTCACAAATAATTCCTTATGTTCGATACTAAATACACAGCACATTAAATTATATTTCAAGAGCTAAAACTACTTGAATAAAAAATAGAAGCTTATTACATAGATTTGGAATTTGCATTATATATGTTACATGATAAAAGATTCATAGAATAACTTATTCTGCGCGTTTCTAACGTTTCAAAATGAACGTAGTAATACTGTTTACTGCCTCGAAACAGCAAGCGCTCGTAGTATATGTAAGAACAAATTGATTATATCCAGGTAGATATTAATTGTCGCCAAGATATACTCTTCGGGCGAGAGAGTGTGCATTATAAGTTGCGTGTCAAAAACTATGAACAAGCAGAACAACAGTGCACCTCCAATGCTTATCACCAATTCCAGTGCGGTGCTCTGAATAAATATTTGCATCAGACCTCCAAGTAAGAGGCACCAGAGTCCAATAAACAATCTGCAAAATGAAGAGAAAAATGAATGATCGTAGAACTAAATGTAAAAACACACTTCTGTATATTTTGTTCACTAAATCGCTAATAGAAAGCGAGTTTTATAGCAGCTGTATTTAATGTAAATAGGATAAAAATTATAAGGTCTGTTCTTTATCGCTGTATTTAAAATTTCTTTTTATGCTTTCATTAAATGCTAAATATATGTCCATTCCATTTTAAGTACAAATTTGACGTTTACAATATTTGCGAACATTTGTCCTTGTTTAACACCCAATAAACAACAAAGATGAAATTATTTCAAGAACTTGTGAGCGTAAAGTGGAACGTCATAGAAGTGTGAATGATGAAAAATAATTTGGCCAAGAGTCAGCCTCACCCGAATCCTAGAAATGAGAAATCTCGTTTGGTTTGGAAAGTGTAAGCTGTCAAGCCGAGCAAAACAGTCAACGTTATAAACAGAGCTTCCAAGACTACTGTGGTATCGTACATGGACACCACAACTCCGACAGTATACGCCTGTACCAGCGTCTGCAATTTCCAAAACAAATTCTTATTGATATCACATACAACAGAGTTAATAATAATCATTCATTTTTTTCATACTTACAAATGCGCTTAAAAGAATCAGATTGGCAGGATGATCTTTCCTTTTTATCATCAAAGCAATTAGGATTGCCATTGTCAGGAAAAACGCTAAACCTATGGTCCATGCGCTAAGTAACAAACTATTTAATAACATTTCTATTAGTTAATAATATGAATTAAATATACAAGAAGGCATCTTACTTATCTTGCACATATAACTTCACGGTTGAGCTGATCACAAATATCGAAGCTAACGCAACTGTCATCAAGATCTGCATACTCAACAAACCATAAACTTTCCGTAAGAAACCTAGATAAATTCAATTCATAATCAGAATGTGGAATTTATATATTTATTATATAAATGAGACTACATTGTGACATTATAAATATAGTTTACAAGTGTTTACAAATGTCTTTACAAATGTTATGAATACTTTATGGTAACATATGTCAACATAATTTTGAATTTCTCTAATGTTATACATTACCCATTCGTATCTTGATATCTGCATTATGCACGTTATTCCTGTAAGCAAAGTCATCTTCTATCTCATGTTCGGACTGTTCCTTGCCACCCTGTTCAACATCCTCTTCCAACAACATCAAAGGGATAGCGACCATTTTTGTTTTTCTGAATAAATAATGTAGAAAATAGAATTGATAAATTGGAATCATAAAACATGTGAAAAGAATTTTCTCAGTCTTCATGAATAGTATGAACTACGGTCAAAAACATTAATAATGTTTACAAGTAACTGTTTCGACATTATTTTATTTTGAGAAAACAATTTTGTAAAAAGTAGTAATGACAATCATGTTCACAAATTCTCAAAATGTCAGTCACATATTAGGCAATAGCAAAACAAACCACAATTTCTTTGAAGATCTTTAAGGGCTGAATTTACGTGGTCAAGTTGAATTTATATTTATATAATAATATTTAGGTAAGAGAATTATCGGACATCATCGTTATACGCAAAATAGGTAGACGGATCGAATGGAAACGACGACGCGTTTATAACAAAAATTCACGAGAATAGAGATCAATTCAGCGCCATCTAGAACAAAAGACTAGAGCATCCTATATTTAGGGTGCGGTCCACTTGGCGCTACAAATCCTTCGAAGTTTTTGATTAACCAATTGGAAGAAAGAATTTTACTAACTGATCAATTAAAAAATGCTTCAAAACATTTGTAGCATCAAGTGGACCGTAGCTATAGAGATCCTATAACCAGAGTTTGGCGAATGTGAATCAAAAATTGCGGATAAAGAGAGAACAGATATTGCTTTCTCGTATGAACGCATGCGCCAAAAGTGTTAAAATACGTGACAGGCAATACATGACGACAATACCTGAAGAAACAAAAAGTTGATCAATTGGTCGAATTGAATAATTGTAATTTGTTAATTTTCTCTTTGTCCCAGATTTGGGAACGATTTCTAATTTCTTTGACACTGGTTTTACTCATCTGCTTGTAGCTATCTATCTCTTTCTATTCTTCAGACTCGTTTGTCAACAATGTACGAAGCTATCCGAAGAATACCGAGTCGTTGTGCCCGCTTTCGCCAAACTCTGGGGGTCGATTGTGTATCTCGAAATGAGATGAAAATTACAAAAGTGAGCAAATTCACTAGAATATTTATAATTTAATTGGTCAATATGTATTGAATTTGCTCACTTTTATAATTTTCACCTTATTTCAAGATACTGTAAACTATTTCCTAGCTATCCAGTAACTTTCGACTAGATAAGCCTTGCGCACAATGGAGGAAATATTAGGAACAGGAATAGATATTAAGATTTCAACCTATCAGAAATCGTTATTCCGGTGTAACTGGTATCTGATAGGTTAAAATCTTAATATCTATTCCTGTTCCTAATATTTTCTCTATTGTGCGCAGGGCCTTAAGCCTTGTGTCCACGATGCTAGAAATTGGTCCGAGATCTCGGAAAGAGAAAGAATTAACCAATCACATTTAAACAATTTAGTCACATGATCAATGCGATTGGTCAATTCTTTCTTCATCCGAGATCTCGGACGGATTTCTAGCATCGTGGACACTGGGCTTTACAAGTCAAGTTGGTAACGGAGAAGTCGCTACTGAGCGCTATCGTTGCGACCTCTAGCCCCAGCAAGTGGTGATCCCTGCCGGTTCCGCCTGACAGGACATTAAGGGTGCGTTCCACATAAAGTCCGCAACGACCACGGCCACAGTGGCCCGAGCCAAGAAGACTAGAACTAAGGAGGGTCAACTCGTGCCAATAGCGGTAGTGGGGGTGAGGCAAAAAGTGGCGACGGATAACTTCCCCCACTCTTGCGCTTCATTAGTCCTCTCTGTCGCTCTATATAATTGTCGCTCTATCGTTCTATAATCGTCACTTTGTTGCTCTTATATCGAACTTTCACACAATGCGCAGTGCCGCTGCACATCGGGTGAATAGCCGCGGACGTTTTTTTACTCACCCCCACCACGCGAGTTGATCCTCCTTAGTTCTAGTCTTCTTGGCCCGAGCCGAACTTTAAGCGGCAAAACGACGGCGGCTCTTACAGCGAAAAGTAGACGTGTGTAGCATTGTTGGGACATTGACTACATTTACATATATGACATCGATGTTACGAAATTGGCCAATCACAGTCATTCCATTCTTCAGAAGAATAGATTGATTAATTCCATAACATCGATGTTATAACTTCGGCGTAAATCGAGCCGTAAACGTAGTCACTGAAATAAAATGTCACAAGTCATGTATATAATAATGGCCGGTATTCATAGTCGGTTCTTATTTCAAAATCATCTTAAGTAATGTCTTAATACGCTAATGCGGCTTTTTGATTGGTTCATGACACCTCAAATAAATATGCATATTTGTAAAGCTATAACATCCTATATATTGCCGAAAAATTACAATTTTTTTCTCTGCAGTTATTATCTCTGTTGATAATCGAACTTTGACGATAACACTGAAATCACAATTTTAAAGAAAAATCGAGTATTATTGAGTTTTAAATGCACGTACACCGATAAACACGTCTACTAAACTAATAAAATATAAAATTAGTACTATATTATCAGTTTTTTTACTCTTAATCACTTCAATATTAACAAGGACGCGAATTCCCATAAGGATGTCGGTCTTTAATAATATCTCGTCGATGCCGAAGATGACTAAAGTAAAGATCGAAACGTTTGATTCTTAATTGTATTTTAATTTAATTTATTTATGATATTATATTGATTTTGCAAAAAACAATCAGCGTCAAACTCGTACAGCCCATATTCTTTTATCATTAATTTTATATGAATTGAGCTATTATATTAACTATTATTAACTGAAAATATAGTTCAGTTTAAATTTATTTTGACACGCATTCTTAACCTTTTATTAGTTTTACACACAAATTAAATCTGTAGGAAAAACGATTTAAAAAATATAGAATATCATTTCAGCGGCTAGCTTCTTCTCCTTTAGGTTAATGGCTTCTGCCTCCTTGAATCCAACGGCTAACGATTTAACGCTCCATGAAAAAGAAGGAAGACTTTAGCGGCTGACGTTTTGTCGGTGGCGGCTCATAGGGGGTCAGAGTGGGGAGAGTCGCCAGCGTTTTGACGCTGCGCGAAATTGCACCTTAAAAGTGCCTTTTCATGCTGACGCTCGACGCTCATTTTCAGCGTCAAAATAGGTTACGTAATCAAAATTAACGCTTGATATTCATCAATTTCTATGGCCGGAATCAGACTAGGCATTGAAGATTGAGATCGAAGATTGAAGATTGAAATTTGACTAATGAGAGTAAAGGAATTTTAGCTCCTATTGTTTTGATTGGTCAAATTTCAATCTTTCAATCTTCAATCTCAATCTTTAATGCCTAGTCTGATTTCGGCCTATCACGTGATTTATATTGACGCCGAAAATGAGCGTCGAACGTCTGCATGAAAAGGTACCTTAAGGCCACGAATCATCCGAGTTGATTAGTCGGGTGATGTTTTCGAACGTAGCTTAAGCTGTTTTGTTATTTCGTATTATTTGTGACGCATTCGTGATAAAAATTTTCGAAAAACGTACGAAAAACAATTGGTTTATGACGAGAAACACCGGTAAACTCAACTCATTTAAAAAAGAAGAGTTAATTGCAAGACATGGTAAATGTAACAAAGGGCATTTTGGTTGAATGGTACGTGTTTGTAGAAAAAATAATTTATTCAACTTATTGACAACCAGTTGCATGAACTAACAATCAAATTCATTCTTTGTAGTCTAAGTCCTCGGGAATGTTAAACTGTTTATTAAGATCTTGCTCCGAAATGCAAAATTTATTCTTGCACCAGCTTTGTATAGCAAAAATGTTGTCCGTCCATATATTGGTCCCATCTTTGTATTTCTAAACAAATATTATCATAACAAAAAAGGAACAATCGTAGCGACACCCACAAAGTAGCTTCCTTAATTTCATTGAAATCTAATGTATCATGCATACTATGACAGAATATATAGAAAAATAAATATGATGATATAAAGGATAAGCCAAAGAATATATAGAAACGATAATCAAATATGTTTTTTAATGCTGCAAAAAGAATGAGATGTTAAAAATAAGGTTAAGTCTATTATATTTGATTAATATATATCTGATGTATATTAGGTACTGTGGAAAGTTTGTGTCGCTTTTTCAAGAGATGTTTATAGGAGAAAAAACAACGCAAACTTTCCGCGGTACCTAATATATATATACATATATATATATATACACACATATATTGAGTTTAATTGTACCTGCGCTTTTTTATCCATTTCTACAATTACTTCTGGATCAACGTTGCTGAATTTTGCAATTTGTTTCTTTATCTCTTGTTCTTCTTTCTTTAGCTGTTCTACTTCCTCCAATAGCTTTCTCTTTTCTTCTGTATCATTCTTCAGTTCCTATATGAAATATTTTAGATGAACAATAGAATTTAAATTCAATAAATTTTGAAGCCTTTTCTGTAACTCTTAACTGTATTGTTACAGTTACAGTTGTTAAGAATTACAAAACAGGCCTCTAAATATGTATTTACCTTTTCTTTCTGTACTTCTTCTTTCAGTTTTTCCAGCTTAAATTCTACTTCTACTAACTTTTTGCTTATATCAGCTATTCTGCGTTCTGTTGTAGTAATATTTTCACTGTAAAATATTATTTCTTGAATATCTCGTTTTTTTTCTCTATGGATCAGACGTAGCTATATAATTTTCTTGCAATATTACCCCGGGAATCTCCAGAAATATGTGGAAGTACCAATTTTTTCAGATCGTACCAAACCATCGTCCACTAAAGCTTGTAACACATCTTTGACAGCTTGTACTACAATGTTCTTATCCTTTGGCGCGATCTTTTCGAGTTCCTTCAGTGTAAAAAATTCTTTCTTCTCATAAAATATTTGCAACATTCTCATACGTTTCTCATCAAGAGAAACTCCTTTTCTTTTCGACATGATATCTATACATATATATATATATTTATAATAAAAAATATTAAACATTCGAACAAAATTGTATGTGTTTAGTGATGCAGCTATGAAACAGTTTCTTCTACATTTGGACGAAACATCTGCACTAGGAAGAAAGTTCATAATTCAAGATCTGGACGAAAAACATCTATTTATATCTGCTGACATATTAGAAACTTTGCAAGCTAAAGTAGATGATTTGATGGATCAGATATCATTCCCATTGGCAGAAAAAGGTGTATAAAGAAATAAGATCTGCTTTTTGAATTGTATAATATAAACTTGTAAAAAATGTCTCGAGAATCTGGTAGAATAAAGGATGCGTGTCAAAAGAGGATTCTTGATGAGGCTGCGCGCAAGCGTAGGCAAAAAAAAGCATTGGAAGCATTAGAACAAGACAATTTTCACGATGATCCACATGCAGACTTAGGTATATACTATAAAAATGCATGTTTCTTTTCGAAACATCGTGTGTTAGAAAATATTTTTTCTTTCTTGTTTCAGTTATGAGCAAGAAAATACCAAAATTCCAAGAGACCCTGGACAACAGAAGTAACAGTAGAAAGAAGAAAACTCGGTCTGCAGAATATTACAAGCAACGTTTTCGCAAGACTTTTGCTCAGCTTGTTGAAGAAGATCTCAATGTGAATCCTAATTCGCCAAACTACGCTAGTGCTCAAGCACCACAGTCTCGTTTACCTGAGAGACATTTCTGTGCAGTGTGTGGTTTCCCTAGTAATTATATATGCATACCTTGTGGCGCTAGATATTGCTGTGTCAAGTGTCTAGGTACTCATCTTGACACAAGATGCATGAAGTGGACGGTTTAAGACGGTTTATTTACACTCTCCAAAGTTTTTAATTAAAGTAAATGTATGAAAAATGCATCTCAAAATATGTTTTACTTTAAATGTTAAGCTTTAATAAAGTATGTAAAAACAACAATAAAAAAAGGCTCAATAAATTCTTTAAGTGAAATGATAATATTATCAGGAAATTTCAGCAGAAAATTAGTTAACTACAGTTAAGTAACGCACAACTGTACCTGTGATGTTTACATTAAGCTCGTGTTTTGCTAATAGAATCTGCAAAAATAAATAAAGCTAGAAACACAATGGGCACAGGCAATAGACACAGGGAACAGGGAATAACGAGCCGTTCAATCAGAGCTCTGGGATATAATATCGAACTTATACTCCAGAGCTTTGATTGGCTCATTATTCCCTGTTGCCTGTGCCCATTGTGTTTCTACCTTAATTGTTTACTTTAATTCTTTTATCCTAAATTTGAATGATTGAGCATAGACCTTTCCATAACTCATAATGCATAAAGCATAAGAAAATTAACCAATTCAAGTCTTTTATTTCGTGGAAGGGAAGAAAATGAAGGATTTCAATTGGTTCATTTTCTTGTGTATACTGTATTATGCGTGACACTACTCCCGCCTTTAAAGCCATTAAAACATTTTTAAAGGTTAGAAAATTTGTTATACTAATGAATGAAGCGATATATGAATATGTATGGTAAATGGTAATAAGACTAACACATAAATGAGCATTATTATTGAAATAACATATGAAATATGATCTAGTATACGATTATAAAGACTACTGCACACTAGAGACTCTCTAATCAGTCTCAAAACGAGAAGCAGACACTAGTTAAAGACTATTACAAATTTCTCTTTCTTTGTAGGGTCTTTAGTTTTATCAAAATCACACAAGAGAGAAAGAGAGAGAAAGAGAAACATGTAGTATCTTTCTGTAACGTTCACATGAATCTAACCTAAACTTAAACTTTAATTCGTGGGAATAAAACACTGTGAAACACTGTTAAATCCTGTTATTAAAAAATAGTTGATTGTGCAGCTCCCTTTTGTAATAATTCAACAGCCACAGGCTATATAATGAAAATATTTTCCAGAAACAGTGAATGTCATGCTTAAAAAATGTTGGGAAAATAAATTGGACGCCAAAAACAGTTCGTTTCTCTGCAAGGTTAAGTAACATTTGTATTTTTTTTTACATATAACATAAGAAATTTATTTATTAATTCCTTATATTAATTCGTTGTATTGTTTAAATTAAAAAGCAACACAAATTAGATATTTAAATATAAGTGGGAATTGATAAAAAATGGCTGACCAATCAAAAGTGCCTATTTTGATGTCACGACTCTGATTAGAATAGGCCTATTCCTTTTAGCTGAATTTTTGCACCAGGGTACCTATTCTGTAAGTCCGCATCTACAATAGGTGTTTTAAGCCTTAAGTCGTAAGAAATTGACCAATTACAGTCGAATTCGAGGAGAATAATCGACTATGATCCGTTCATTTCTTATAGCTTAAGGCTTAAAACTCTATTGTAGATCCGGGGTAACTGTTTTACACGCCTACCGACAGTTGTCGGTGTCGTCGCGCAGCTTTTTAATGCCGGTTCTACAATAGAGTCGCGAGTCGTGAGCCGTAAGAAATTAACCAATCGTAGTCGATTATTCTTCTCACACTTAACTCTGATTGGTCAATTTCTTACGGCTCACGACTCGCGACTC